CTACATGGTCTTCACGAAAATTATCCTCTCGCGCATATTAAGGACATTGGATGAGGCGCAATCAGTCGAGCAAGCAGGATTTCGAAAAGGATTTCGCTGCACGGACCACATCCAAACCGTGTCCAGGGTCATCGAAGTTTGTCGGAAATACCAGTTGTCTCTAGTCCTGATTTTCGTCGGCTATGAGAAAGCGTTTGACAGTGTCGAAACAAATGCAATTCTATCAGCGCTCGTCGACCAAGGAGTGGAGCCGTCCTACATAAGGATTCTGTCCGAGTGTTATCGGAACTTCATTACGAAGATACAGCCTTTCCATCGACCTCTTACAATACCCACAAGAAAAGGAGTTCGGCAGGACGGCACAATATCACCAAAGCTGTTCAGTGCCTCACTGCAGTGGATAATGAAGTCACTTCATTGGCATGAGAAAGGCATGCATATTGATGGAAAATTCCTACTAAGCCTTCGTTTTCCCGACGACATTGTCACCTTCTCAAGAAGTACTAGCGAAGCAGAAGTGATGATCAACGAGCTCAACGAAGCGGGGAAAAAGATCGAACTTCACATAAATCGAAAGAAGACCCAATTAATGAAAAACCCATGGTGCAAAGGCGAAAAAATTGAATTGGATGGCTCTCTCATTGCAGAGGCCACCTCGTACGTTTACCTTGGGCGATCAATAACCACGGAAAACAACATGAAAGAGGAACTAGATAGAAGAAGGAGAACAGCTTGGCCCGCATTCCGGCCTTTCAGAGAGGCCACCGACCAACTGAAAGACCCGAAAATCCGCTCTCATTTCTTTGATTCTACGGTCCTCCCAGCGCTCGGTTATGCTGCAGAGACATGGGTTGATACTTCAACTACGTCAAGAATGCTTCGAACTATTGGCAGAGCGCTTGAGCGACGTCTTCTGAAATATAACCGGCACTCTCAATATCTAGCCGGAATGCGAAGCTCTGACCTTCGAAATCTGTCACGCCTTCGAGATCCAGGAGAATATACATCAACAGCGAAACATAGATGGGCTGGTCACATAATGAGAAGAACAGACGACAAATGGGCGAAAAGAACAGTGGAGTGGACTCCTAGAGAATGCAAACTTCCCTTGGACGACCACGTTGAGGGGTGTGCTCGTTAACAAAATTAATTAACTGTACCAGCACCTGCAGTTCTTTTACAGATCACGGTATGAAACTCGCAAGCGCTACCATACTCGAGCAAGACCACCACCACGGACTAGGATTGCGAGAGAAAGGAACGAATGGCATACGTGCTGGGGTCCGCACAGCTCGTGAAGACGGACCGCCCAAGCATCCAGGTAAATAAGATATGTCTTCCTAGTGTTCTCACTTACAAATATGATATGTCAATCTCATCTTCATCAGAGCCCAATTTAGGAACAAACGGCGTGTTAAACAGGTGTTCGTCTACACGTTTTCAAGCGGAAATGGCTGATTCGACTCAGGAATTTTTCAAAGGAATCGATGTTTACGATCATGCGTGTTTAGACGAACATAACAACGCCGCCTGCTTCTCCTTTCATTGGAGCAGATTTTCACCAGTAACGTAAATAGAGCTTACTTGAGCATGGCTTCTCGCATCTGCAGGTCTCATAACTGTATGCTTAAAATTCTTACCATGTATCATCAGGACCTCAATGGAAGATTTAGATGCCAGTGACCGCACATTATTAGCATTGTTTCCATAGTTGTTCTAGATATTAGCCTACATATATATACATATATATACACACATATATACATATATACTTAAAGGATCAATCGTTCAGCGTTGACCAGTCTCTAAGGGATACCCCATGAGTCTAATTTCGACAGACAGGATTTTATCGAATGCCGGTAGAGGTGGATGAATTCATATCTGTTCTAAGCAATGACTTGCTGTGGCCTACTGATGTACAAAGTCAGTGCGCTTATCCTCTCACTGTCTCTGATAGCAGTTCAAATTGAAGATGCCTTGCTGGAAAGACCATGCATTTTCTAAGGCCATAGGTGGAGAATTTAAGGCTAACGTTGGACACGGAAGAACGCCTGAGGAACGTCATACTGAAACCCACTGATTGGAATGGAACGAACGCGGGTGCGGCTGTATAAATTTGTTATAATGGCCAAGAAAATTCAAAGTAACCTATAATTTCTGAAGCCCTCGCACTTAAGGCTAGTCGTAAGAGTCTCACAGTAGGGAGTACTGTAAAGAAATAGACCACAGCATAGGAAATCGAAGGTTTTGCCATGCCGATGTCGCTGTTGTTCCAAAATTCTACACGGAGTCAGATCATCGCCTCCTTCGTTCAGGACCTCGTTTTTCGTGGAAAGGAGAAAAAGCCATTAAATTCAAAAAACGAATCCTCAAAATCATCAGAAACTGTGACTTATTCAGTTGATTTGTCGGCTGTTGGGAAGGTGCCGTTCTCGATAGCACCGACGAGGTAGAAGATCGGCTTATTCAGAACTTTCAAGCTAGCGTTGTAGAACCTGAGGGCTCGACAGTCAAAAAATGACGTCTATCTCCAATAACACGAGCTGGTCCGCCAACGTAGAATCGCAAAGCAACAGGCAACCACCAACTCACGTTCGAACATGCAAAACACTGCAGACAGGCTATAAAAGAACGTCACAAGAAAGGAAGAGCAGCAGTATTGACTGAAACAGCAGAGGCTGGAAAGGGCTTACGCAAAACCCATTATAATTTCGTCAATGGCAAGACCAAGATGGTTGTACTCTGGCGCCCAGATGGAACAGTTACAGCTTCCAGAAAGAAAATGGAGAAAGAAAGAGAAAGAAAGAAAGTCATCCATGATAGTTACTCAGGTCGCTTCGATACCGACATCTCCTTGCCTTCATATGAATTAAAGGAGTATGGATATGTCACCTCATCGGTTCTCCATTGCGAAATCCGACATGCTGTTTTGTCAGTGAAGTATTGAGCAAAACCTGGTCCGGACTGGAAAACGCCTGAACACCTAAAGGACCGCCCGCTACTCTTTATCAAAACACTAGCTCAGGTCCTTACACGTTACCTATCAGAATTCAAGGTTCCTATTTAAAGCAAGACTAGCAGAACTGTATTATTTCTAAAGAAGCTTGATTTCAACGATATTGCCTAATCTGCTCGTTGTCTGTCTTCTATTAACTTTTCACTCGAGTAACCCTAAGAGCGATTAATGAAACACTCGACGAAGGAGAGCTGTGGGAGCAAACAGGGTTTCGAAAAGGATTCGGCAAGATGGACCACATCGATATAATAGCAAGATTTACTTCTATATCGTCAAAGAAAAGAGACCGCTCTATCTTATTTTCAATGATCCAAAGAAAGTTTTGACTGAGTAGAGATGGAAGCAGTCGTGGAAATTCTTGATAGCCATAGCCATTCTACATCGACATTATCATTAGCACAGAAAGAGTGGTTAGTAAAGGAAATACTATTTCGCCAAAATTATTTGCCAGCATCCTCTAAAACATCATTTAAATATTAAAACGGGATAACACAGGAGTGAAATTAAATGGTCGGCAATTACAACATCTTCGGTTTGCTGATGACATTTGTCCTCACAACACCAAGCATTAGCCAGGTGGAGCAAATGCTAGCCAACTTTTATAAGGCTCGTGAAAGGATTGGTTTTCAACTAAACCTCACAAAAACGAAGTTCTTGAAGAAAGCATTGGTTTCTTCTGCTCAATTCGGGCTCAATGGAATAAATGTCTCTGAATGCTCCAGCCACGTTTATCTAGGTCGGAAAATCAACATTATGAACGACTTAGCTTCAGAGCTGAGCAGGAGGAAGTGAGTGGTTTGGGGACTATTTAAGAGCATCGGACATAGGGAGGAGATCGAGGATCACCTGACTTCGTGCCCAGCTTTTCCACTCCACGATCCTCCTCTTCTTAACATATACTCAGGACATCTTATAGCAAAGAAAAAAGAGCGAAAATCGAGACACCAGAACGTAATATAAGCCCTCACATGGTATGTTTTATCACTTTGCGTTTGTAAAGACCTTTCTTTGTAATACAAAAACGTCTAAGAGCATCACCTGCAGTAACAAGTGAATCCATGGTAGGAAATCGTCGACGAACACGGAGTGAAACGTCGCGAAACACCATCACCTGAAAATAAGTGATGGGTATTATGATGGAGTCATATTCGTCAGCAGTGCCATTATTGATTAAGAAAACGGTTTGTGTTAACTATATCCTTCTTCACAGCTACTAGTGAGTATACTCAGCTTTATATATCATAGCATGCCTTGGTTTTCTCAGGTCAAAAACAGCACGGTGAAAAAAAGGAAATATGTATACGATACGAAATATATAGAACTTCCTGTGTTCAAAGTGTTTTGTAAGATGTGACAAATATGCGAAATCTTTACATGCGCCGACATTTAAATGGTCTATTAAGTCCGTGTTTTAATACAGGTTTCAGTTCAGACTATATTCATAACGCCCACCTGAGACAATGTACAATATCGTACTATGGTCCGTCTATAAAGAGTCACCTTCTTGGTGTCGCCTCTCAAGAATGTGGCGACAGTGAGCGCAAGGCTGAAAAATTATGGAACACGTATTCAACCTGTAAGGCTACACAATGCCAAGAATCACGGTCGTTTTATTAGGGACTTAGTTGCAAAAGTTCGCATGGACAGCACTCAAGCACGACGACTTGTAAAAGCCACAGCGCCGCTGTATTGACACTCCATGACTATGGAATCCTTCCCAACCAGAAAATTGCAAATCATAATAGCTGTAACAGCGCTTGCACAGATTTTTGTGAAGATGAACTACCCAAACATCAAGAATACAGTTATATTTCGAATCCAGTGCAACGCTGACCCTTGCCTACAAGAAACAATAGAACGAGTGCTACCAAACAAAAGAAAATCAACGTAGAGAACATCAAAGACAAAACTCTGTCAATACTTATTACATTCCATGAATATGACATTTTATCATAACTTTGAATTCCATGAAGGCACTGGTCACTCACTTTTCTATCCATCCCATATTCTGGAAAATACTTCTCCATCGATCAACGACGATTGTAACGAAAAATCCAAGCATGAATGTGAGCGGAATGTATTCCAACCTCTCATCACAGTATTCTGCTATATTTTCGAATTTTCTGAAAACGATTTGACAAATGGTTGTTGAGGGCATAAGGTTCCATCATAGAAACACATTGTTGTTAGGATTTGGAAGTGCTGTGCTGCCTATTTCGGTTCTATTTCTGTATTTTCTATACTCGTTCATTTCATGCGATAGCATTCATTCGTTCATTGTAATGACTAGAAATCCATTAAGACTCAGATGCCTGAGTGGTAAAAGAACTGCTTCAAGGAAGGGTTTTTTAAAAAGTTTTAGGTGCAGGATAAAAGTCTTCCTGCTGCAATATCTGTGTTCGACAAACCATCGACTGGATACAAGAAATGCGTGAAAAGAATAGGGTGTAAATAAAGTTAAACATAGGGATTTTGACTGCATCTTCAGCCTAACTGAGTTTAAAGCAGATTTGTGCTCCAAATATCAAATCCGTTGACGGGTGAATGCTGATGACATCAGTGGAGTAGAAACAATGCTGAGAGGAAGGTAAGGGCCACGAGTGGCATAGTGGATAGCACATGATGGCCCGTAAAAGGTAGTCGCGAATTCGAAAAAGAGCTGAGGTTCCAAGTTTTGCCACTTCTCAACATCCTTTTAGTTGTACTACAGATCGTACCCTGCCATGAAAAAGAATAGGCAATAAATAAAAGCCAAACAAAGTGGGAAAGAGTTCTGCGTTTCAAAATAAACCGCAAAAAAAAGATGTGACAACCGTGTGGCTCGCGCGAGTTATAGTGTCTCCTTACAAATGCCTCTTAAGGTTACGTAGTCGCGAATGTGACAAGTAATATTGGTCACCGGTCCCACAATATTTTACCTCTCAAAGTGACCATATTATGTTTCTGAGTGCTGAAATAAAATGTAGAGCCATATATCATACACCAGTAAGTTTGGTACTTATATCAAAACAGCAAGTTTCTTCATGACCATCGGGTGGTTGGAGCCCGATGAACAGCTCCAGTACGCCAAATGTAGAGCACAAAAGAAACTTTACTGTGTGCCATCTTCACGAACTCAATAATTAAAGTAATTACAAGTATGCAGGTGAACAAGCAGTGGAGATCTATGAACTCACCGTTTAGCCTCGCCATCTAGAACGTTCCTGTAGATCAGAAATACTGCATAGTAACCGCAAAGCCATGCGATCAGGTCAGCTAAGATCGATTTGTATATCGAACCACGCCATCGAAAAAGTAGTTTGAAGAATGTGAAGTAGGATACTGATGAAACGTCCAAATTATAGGATACGGTCATTTAAACACCTAAATGACGAACAAATTCAGTATTCAAATTTCGAGTGAACGTTTGTGAATACTGGGTGATTTGACGTTGATTCTTATCACTTTTATTGGTTAGCATCCTTTGTAAATCACAGCAGCATCGAAGCAGCACATGTCTCCTACAGCACATAATTGGAAAGCACGGTACACCTTGTCTCTGACAGGTCTACGTGTCCATCTTGTTTAAAAGTTGCAAAGAATCGTAGAAACGGTGAGCTTAGAATGTAGTAGCGTGATGATGTTAATGAGAAAGTCTGCCGAATTCTAACCCTTCGAGTGATCACTAAAGAAAAATACAACGAAGTGATAGAAAATCTCCTTCTCAAAGCAACGAAAGGAAAATAAACAAATTGGTAGTAATAATAAAAAATAATATTAGCAATGGTAGTAGTAATATAAATAATAATGCCAGCAATACTTTTGGTATATTATTTTTCCGCGACTACTCTCATGTCTACACTGCGCATTCCAACAGTTCTTGCATTCTATTCGTTTCCTCGCAGCTGTGGTCCACGAAGCTCTGCGAAGTTTTCGCGCGAGTTCGGTCGGTTTTTGAGGACGTTCGTCTCCTTTACGAGTGCAGTTGCTTGCTGGTCGAGTCCATTTTCTCTGGAGTCTTGTTATTGTTGGTTACACTTTTATTTGAAGGAGTATATTGTTTTCAAACGGGTCTGGTACCATGTTCCCGACTCTGAAGGAATGAGAGGCTTGGTGGTCCTGGGGCGGGCTCGAACCAGAACCAAGCTTGTGATCAATAGCGCACCACCACCACTGTCCTACTCGCTCCCTAGTAAAAACAATAATAGCGCTAGTAATAATAATAATAATAATAGCAATAATAAAAAGTGTTCAGAATCTAGCAAATAATTCCTATTTTGTTGAAAATGTTGTAATCAATAAGGTGTTACAGCAATGTTGGCGACCCAACTGGTTAATCGTCGCCACTAAAGCTCCCTGAAAAGCAATTTCATTTTTTTTCTTGCGGATGCTTACACAAAAGACACGACGCATCCAATACGCATAAGGAGCCCTCGTGTGTCGATGTCGTATTACCGATTACTATCAATGATACACGATGATATATGTTTGCGATTATTTGATAAAAGTGCACAGCATGTTATTGCATTTTTCACGAGCCAATATGGAATTGTTAGTACAACGTCAGTTTTGCAACGAATCATGTTTCCTTCAAATTCCGCCTTCAGAACCCGAATAGGTCATGTTTGTTAACATATAACCCAGTCGATCGACTGCTTCAATAATGTTACACCAATCTTTCAAGCCTACAATTCCCTAACACATACAGTAACTGTTCGTTCATCATTTGTCATCACAAACACCTACAATATAAGGGTGAAGAAGTGTCCCAAAAAAGGATATTTGAACGTCGATGACATTCATTTGGTAGCTTTAAGACCTTCATTTATGTATAGCTAGGTGTTTTTCTCTAGCAATAGTAAACGAAAGCATGTATTAAGAGATTTGTGACAGAGTGTGAGCTACCACTAAGCAATTAATGATGTCAATGAATTTTTAACCGCTGCCTCCATGGTATTATTTGAATTACACTACATCTTGCAAGATAACGATACAATAGAAGCGAAAATATATGAGATTATAGATTGCATGAGGTCCGAAACCGTCGTTCTCACTTTTTGAGAAAGTCCGACTCTTTGTTCACATCTTAGAGCACCACAATGAGAGTTGAACTGCATTAAAGCATTCTACTAGTCACATATAGAATTAAAATCATAACAAGGACAATTTTGAGACTAACGATACGATTTCAGTAAAACATTCAAAAACTTCATAGAGCAAATTTCTATGTACGTAATGGATTAGAACAAAAGCCCCCAAAACGCATCAGTGGAACGAATGTGTTATAATCACCAGTTCCGACATTTCGACAAGTAGACATCTAAAAATATGCAGTTAAGATTTAGAATTTTCCTATGAGACTAGGGAAATATTTTCCTTCATTTTTGATCGAACAGAACAGATGGTAGTATAACCCGTCTAGACTACAATTTTAAAAGTAAAGCAAATTGATGGAAATGTTAACATTGTAAAGTAACCACAATAATACTGAGATATTTGCAAAAGTTGAATCCCAAGAGAGATTAGAACCCGAGGTTGTCCTTTCTGGAGGTCAAGTCTGCACAACTTGAAGCCTCTGCTTTGCCTTTTTGTCAGCTAGCTTTTCACCTAACGGTGCTATCATCATTCATCTGAAAATTATCTGCCCATTTAAACCAATTAAGCTGAGGTTGCAGTCGAAATCACAGCGCTTAACTTTACCGTCTATTATTTAACTAGATCCAAAATCGATTTGTGCTCCACAGACCATTGCCGTTGGCGGCTGATTGCTGTTGGCACCGTCAACGTAAAAAAAAAAACAGGGTGAAACAAAAGTAACCCTACGCCCTCAGTGGTCCAGAGGGTAAGACGCCAGCCTTCGGAAAGGGCAACTACGGGTTCGCATCTGGCCTGGAGTCTAGACAAGTCTCAGCATCATTCTAATTGTATTTCAATCATAGCCTGTCGTGAAAAAAGTAATAGGCTGTAACTAAAAAGTTAAGAGTTAAAAAGCAAAATAATTACTGCGTTAGTGCCTTTATACTGGATCACCAGTAGTACTAAAATAGTATAGTTTCTAAACAAAATTTATTGATATTAAAACATTGAATCGTGTTTACAACAGCAATCAATCTTCAACAATCGAATTACTTATGAGAATACCATGAGAGATGACTTGTTAGCTCCATAAAATGTAGAGAGAGAGAGACAATGAATTTGCAAAAATACGTGGACCCCAGTTTTTCCTGCTCTATGAAGAGTTAAAGAAGACCATGTACTTGAAGAAGAAAGCAAGGGACCACATAACTTTCCAAAATTCTTAACCAGAAATTATGGCAACGTGACGTTCTTAAGCAGTGCAAATGTGGTATGTGACAGATGAAAGAGAAAATTTCTCTATCTGTATCGCCAAAGCTGATTTTATTGTTTTTGCCGCCAAATCAGCTGTGTACACTATAACCCTCATATTAAAAGCTAGTAACTAAATATCTATCAATGAATATTGTTAACTACTTCATCGTTCAAATGATTACTTTTAAACCTCTGCATGCCGTCACAATAAACTGCATACGAATTGTCTTCAATTCGTATTTGTTCTGCGTAGTGTGTCAAATTTTTATAAGCGATTACAAATTTTGCTGAAAACAAATGAAAAACAGACAGCATTTTCCTATGTGTAAACACCAAAAGACGATGGATTGGATATAATTAAAACAAAGATGTCTCCAAAAGGATCGCTCTCCTATGAAACTTCGCTTTCAGGAAAAATCGAATTCTCCGGCACATATAGGCAAAACTCTAAATTAAAAGTCAAACCTATAGAAATAAAACATACCATCGGCTCCATTGTTCTGTAGTACATAGGTCATAGACATAATTACTATTTCCGTGATGAGTCAGTTCATAGATAACCTGAGATAGCAAAACTTGGGACCTCGGTTACGCTTCAAACCTTGAATTGCCCTTACCGGGTGGCCACGTGCTATCCACCACACCAACCGAGGTCTTTGCTTTGCCTTTCTCTCAGTCATGTTCACTCTATCGATGCTATCACGAATCACACGTCAATGCTAATGGTCAACGGAGAGAATTGGCAGTGTGTGAAAGTTAACTCATTGTGATTTCGATTGCAGCTTCACCTTAACTGGTTTCAATACCAATTTGTGCTCACCAAGTCATTCCGGTTGACGGGTGATTGCTGATTGCACCGACAGAATGAAAGCATGGCTAACAGAAAGGCACAGCAAGGATCTCGGTTGGTGAGCCGGATAGGGTGACCCACTAGTAAGAACAATTCAGAGTTCGATGCCCAACTGGGGTCTCGAGTTTAGCCCGTATCTTAGCACTCCTGCGGTTGTAGTTAACATCGCACCCTGCCTTGAAAAAAAAAGAATAGACAGTATATAAAAGTTAAGAAATTCACATATAGTGTGCACGAATGTACGATAGCAAAAAGTCGTCCATGTGAGCATCCGAGACGAATTTTTCGTTTATTATTATAATTTCCCTATACACGATAGATTTGCTTAGCACCGAATTATTTATTCCATTGGGCCTCGAAACGAACACGTTTTATCTACATCGATTTTTTTAGGTTCATAAAAAAAGCAATCCTTCTACAGTCACCGTGCAAATTATTCACTTTTGGGTAATGTCGGTTCAACTTATGAGAGCCTTTGGGGGGGCCTTATGAGAGCGCAATTGGCGCAGCTTCCTGTCATCGATTCACCCTTCCATACAGTCCTAACCAAATTTTCATATATTTTCGAGAGAACCGTTGACCAGTTGTTTAACTAAGAAAAGGGAGTCAAATTTGTTAACAATTGCCTCTACATCGCAATAACTACCTTCTACAGAAGCGCAATGGTGGACAAAAAGCTAGCTTAGTGTTGATGAAGAATGGAGCGCCGTTCCCAAATGAGTTCTGTTCCGACCAGCTTTCGATTGACTACCCCACGAATTTCCACCGACCAGATAGCATATTGGATATTCGGAAAAGCCATTGTGACGATGACATAGAACTCACGACATTTACCAATACGATTTGGATACAAGTGTGATTCATACAATAGATCACACGGATGTTCCGCACGACACTAGTCGTTGCCACATCTTCCGGGTCTCCGTCTACACGTAAACTACTGCTTTAATGTGTTTTCCATGAATTTCTATGAACTATTTTAATCTCATTTTTACCAAAATGCAAGAAACATCAGACTTTTATTTTTACAATTTACTTGACCCGTCATAGAATCTGTGTAGATCCCAGCACTTTTTGCATTCGATTCATTTCGCTGTTCCCATTGATGGTGCAGGGATGCCTTCTTTAGCGTCGAACGCCGTAGAATGACAGTTGAATGGCTTCTTCTTGAAATCTTGGAGATATAACAAAGCGTCCCCACGTGGATCGGATGAGAGCAATGAGGAGAGCGCCCTGCTTCCAAATGGAGACTCTATGGCCAACTACTACGTTAAGGTAGAAGAACATCGATAAATTTGGATAATAATTACTACGTGTCACTAAATTGAAAAAAAGAAGCACAACGACAGGAAGGAAACAAGGACAAACATATTCGAAATTCTTCATCAGATTAAAAAAAAGAAAAATTCCTAATGACAACAGAGGATTGAAACCAATAGTCTTTGAAAAATACAGTTTATTGCGCTATGAATGATGAAGACCGTTCAATGAAAACAAGGGAACTGAACTCACTTTTACATATCGAACGTTCTAAAGGAAAACATGCGTGATCTCACATCATGTAAACATAACGGGAGGTTTAACAACGACCTACGATTGCACTTTTCCACCTCCTCTGAAACCCAACTAATCCGCCCGGAAATAAAATCAGAATCTAAAGAATATACACCAAATTCATTGATCACGAGAAGTCCTGTAATTAACAACTATGGATCCGTTTTAGAACGTTTTGTCGGCACTGGCAACTCAGTATGCTCAGGGGGTTCTGGCCTTTTCGAAGAACGATATCCAAGAGATAACGGCTCTCCTCTTCTCAGTGTTTCTACACATTCTTTGACTCTCTCTTTGATCCTGTTTCCGTCCAAAATTTTCTTCTTGTAGCATTCACGTACCACAGCTCGCATCACGTCTTTATACTCTTGCACTGTCAATTCCCTACAAAAAAAAATCTCAGGTCTGACTTTCTATTACATTCGACGCTGCTCAATAATAAGCGCATTCTTTTTCAACTGACACGAAGTGATCAACAATAAGATTTATTCTACGATGGCTGACGTTTTGCAGGTAAGAGGAAATGGACAAATGCTTCGAATTGTTAAACGCACAGTCAGAGTATATCAAGTTCACCCGAGAAAAGCAGAAAGAAAAATGGCTTCCATTCTTGAACGTACAAATTCACCTATCAGAAAATGGCTACATTACAAAGTGGTACCGAAAGCCAAGTAGTAAAAATATCTTGGTTCATTACCTCTCCTCTCACCCTTCTCACACGAAAAGGGCGCTTATAAGAAACATGTTTCGAACAGCAACCAACGTGTGCACGGGAAGAGAGCAGAGAGAGGAGTCCCGGAACTTGGCACGGCAAATAGCCGTTTCTAATGGCTACGAAACTGTAGCTCAGAATAGGTGTAGAGGAAATCGTAGGCCTCCAAACGACAACTCTAGCGATAGAAGGGTCCCGTTTATCCTACCCTTCATCTCAAATGATATAAGTACAGCTATAAAACGCTGCTTAAGAAGGGCGGGCTTAGAGAATTCGGTGAGCGTAGTTGAAATACCACCGAGTTATCTTAAGCGCCAGCTAGTTCGTAACCGCCTATATGACCGTCTATGTGCAACTCAAAATTGCATAATTTGCCCCAGTGGTAGAGACGGTGATTGCATGAGCTNTCCATTTTTGAACGTACAAATTCACCTATCAGAAAATGGCTACATTACAAAGTGGTACCGAAAGCCAAGTAGTAAAAATATCTTGGTTCATTACCTCTCCTCTCACCCTTCTCACACGAAAAGGGCGCTTATAAGAAACATGTTTCGAACAGCAACCAACGTGTGCACGGGAAGAGAGCAGAGAGAGGAGTCCCGGAACTTGGCACGGCAAATAGCCGTTTCTAATGGCTACGAAACTGTAGCTCAGAATAGGTGTAGAGGAAATCGTAGGCCTCCAAACGACAACTCTAGCGATAGAAGGGTCCCGTTTATCCTACCCTTCATCTCAAATGATATAAGTACAGCTATAAAACGCTGCTTAAGAAGGGCGGGCTTAGAGAATTCGGTGAGCGTAGTTGAAATACCACCGAGTTATCTTAAGCGCCAGCTAGTTCGTAACCGCCTATATGACCGTCTATGTGCAACTCAAAATTGCATAATTTGCCCCAGTGGTAGAGACGGTGATTGCATGAGCTCGGGTATAGTTTATCTGATCTCCTGTAAGACGTGTGGTGACGAATACATTGGCGAAACGGGTAGCCCCCTCTGTGTCCCCATGAAAGAACACCTAACCGGCAAAAATAGACCAAATACCCCGCTAGGCACGCATAGAACCCAGAGACATAACGGGGACGACTTCGAAGTATGTGTCACGATCCTCGAACGCGAATTAACAACACAGGCGCGAAAAACTCTCGAGGCACTCTGGATTAATTCCAGAAATCCGAAAATGAACCGCAGGGAAGAATGCCTCATTATCACGCGTGATATAGGGCAGTATATAAAACTGCTTTTCTGATGTAAGGGGCACATTATACTTTCATGTGATTTCTGTGCGGTTGGTCTCTACATAACATACTTAGTGGAAACGTCATAGGAAGCGGTGAGTTTGCAAAGCTGTGTTCAAAGTAATTGAAATCTTGGTTTGGAGTTTCTTTGTTTGGTTATGGAAGCGTCTGGCCGAGTGGATTGCTATCAACTTGACCTTTCCAGGCTCTGAAGAAGGCGAAATCCGCCGAAACGTCAGCTTAATCGTGAACAAAGAATAGTAACACCTCGCGTTTGCTCAACAAAAATACGAAGAAAATCACTTGACCAATGCCGAGGTTAATAGAAAGTTGGTCGTGGCAGTTACTGAAAGTATAGAGTAGCAGCGCTATCACTTTCTTGCACCGTAACCGACTGGAAAACATTCGCTAACATTTTGGTAGGTTACCACTTGCACACTGCTGAGAACACTCGATGTGAAGCCTCTTGTGCACTCGATGCCATCAATATTCAACCGGCATTTAGAAGTTGTTACAAGGCATTTTTGACCATCACTTGTTATGCTCCCACTTCCACTTTAGTATTCATTGTTGATCTACGTTTGTACGTGATATTTGCTCATATTACTTCGTTACTGTTATAGTTAACGTGTACATATATTTAAACGTTTAATTGTACAATTTTGAGGCTCGAGCTTCAACAACTACAAAAGCTCCGTGTGCTTAAACATAAGAACACGCGTATTCTGTACTGAATTAACCCACACAGATATTGTAATATGGGCGTTTTGAAAAATGCATGGAGGTAACAGTAAATTTTGAATTTCTCCGTAGAGTTGGTTCATGGAACCACAAACATTAGTGCAGTCAAGCATAGATCAACCGGTGCCAGCCGAAGTCTGCTTTCTGGTTGTGTTTTCATCGGCTTATGACTATAAAAGAATAGTGCATGAAGTTCTCCATAGGCAAAGGATTTGTTTGTGTTAGAAATGTGGTAATGTAACTGTCTGAATCAGTATACGAAAGAAATAGCAAAGATAAGGAGTTTATCACGGCTTGCAGGTCAGAGATAAATAAGAGTAGTTATTTCCTACTTACCTTTTATACGGTTTAATTCCTTGCTTTGCGAACCCATCGATAATTCTGAGAATATCGTCAGGTTTCTAAAAATTGAGATTAGACGCGTTAGTACTATTATTTCAGCATACGTTCAAAGAAGCAGTGAGAATTTTGAATCTACCCTAGTTAAAAACTCATATTCTTTCGCTCCTTAGGACTTGGACGCTATCAAATCCTCACTCACTAGTGAACTAGGTTCCAACGACGTAGCAAGCGATGGGTCTTGAAATTCGTGCTAAACAAGCAGGTGAGAAAGTAACAATAGTTGAGTAACTGTCAATCAGATAAAGAATAAATGATTAACATAAGAAAGGCAAAATAACATAGAGAAAAATTGCACTGTAAACTAAGCGAACGGAAAAAAGCCTAAAGAGAAGAAAATGAATATATACTCACCAGTGTAACGCCAACACTACCTGTTGGATCTAAAAAACGTGGGAAATTGGCCAAGTGACACCTTTTTCTATTAAAAAATCTCACACGGATAATAGTGGAAGAAATATTTCATCTGCTCACCAGCGACCGTTCTCTCATTCACGTCAGGATTCATAAAACTGCCACGATCTTCTTGCTCAGACTCTTCATTTCCGCGAAAATCCTCTGAACATTCGCAAAAATGACGTTCCTTAGCGTAGAAATGACGACCGTGATTTCCGGGACCTGTTTCATGCGATCCTTGATGGATGTCTTTTGTAGCTGTTAAATTTTCATATGGATTCTCGTTCCTACTTCGATGTTTGTAATGGTTTCCACAATTCTGATGATGGTACTTATCAGTTGTACCTCCAACGAAACACTGATGTTTTGATTCATTTGGTTCCTGCATGAGGTGCTGATGTTTTTTCATAGCAACCGATGATATTTTGTTCTCGCCATAATTTTCCTGATCTTTTTTACTTTGATCGGAATTACGTGGTGAAAATCGAGCTGTCTGAGTGGAAGATGATGTTGGTCGGTATCCTTCAACCAAGGATGATAATTTTTTCGCATCATTCCAATATTTTTCCTAAAGCAATTAGAAATAGAAAAATGCAAGCAAAAATGATTCATTGGAAAAATCAAAACTAAACCAGGTATCACACCTTTGGAGAATTCGTGACATTTTCTGAAGTTGATGGCTCTTCTGAGCCTGCCGTTATCTTGAAAAATTTAGTTATAACGAATTTTACGTTGCTCTGCGACAAGAACTTGGTACAACAACCAACAAAACCTACACCAAGACGTTCCCTGAGCTCTGAAGAAAGCTGACTCGTTTTCTTAATTCTATATTGCTCGAAATACTTCGTACTATTAAACCGGCCACCCTAAAGTCGACAATTTTCTTACGGTTATAAGTGTCCCTATGGATGATTCTAGAAGTCACCTTGACAGCAAATAACCTTCCCGGAGCCAGTGTTTTCACTTGTTCTGGAATAATCGACCCAAGAAGATCACTAAAACAAACGAGAAACTTACCACTTCCAGTAGTAAAGGATAACAGAGATTTTAACAATTACCATGAATCGACAGTGGGTTCTGCATCCTCAACTGTTTCCTTTCGATGAGACAGAGGTTGATCGAAGCGACGGGAGTTCTCGGTCACCTGGCTGCATAACACAGCTTATCTAGAGCACCAAACGGGAAGCGGTGAAAAAATTGTGTCTCTCAACTTTATAATCATACTCGAAGAAATACTAAATTAGTACGAGCGGAAAATCTCAGACTGTGAAATTAATGAGTTAAAACTTTTCGAGAGTAGGAACGCCCGTTGACAGCAGTTTACCAGTATTTTTACCACTTTTGAAGTAGATTTCCATCGCAGCGAGTCATAGATCAACTTGCAAGGTGGCGGCAACAGCTGTGATAAAAAATTTTAAAGTACTCTATATCACTCGTATCACTTTCGCAACATACCCTGCCATTAAAAAGAAAAAGCCAGCAAATAAAAGGTTTAAGTTTGTGATTATAACTAAGCCTCAGCTTAACTGAGTTCAATGCCAATTTGGGCTCCCCAGATCAATCCCGTTGACAGGTGATTGCTGATGGCAAAAAGATCGATAGAACTAGCTGAGAGACAAGCAAAACGAAGGACCCGGATGGTGTGGTGGTGAAGTGCGCTGCTCCCGGTAAGTACGACAGCGCGCGTTCGTTCCCCACCGAATACACCTGCGGTCCGGAGTTTTGCAAATATCTCAGCATTATATACGAGTTATGTTTCGCAACATACCCTGCCATTAAAAAGAAAAAGGCAGTCAATAAAAGGGTTAAGATACTCTATATCAGTTCCCTCAAAACCTTAAATGGCTCTAGACCCAAACTTACTTCTCTGCTTACCCTAAGCAATACATCTCCTTCTGTATGACTACCAAGGTAAGAATAAAAGCGATGGTTTATACTGACGGAATCCGCCTCGCACATACTACACGCAAGTACTCTCTGCAGCTTATAGTCATCACTGCGGGAGATCAAAACAGGCAAGAAGACATCCACACTACAACTGATTAAGGTGAAACCGAACAACACATACGGTAACTTCGAAGACCGACTTTCTATTAACCTCAGCATTAATCAAATAATTCGCTGTATTCCTGATGACCAAACACGGGGTTGTTACATTATTTTTTATTACTGAAAAGACTGACGTTTCGGAGGATTTCGCCCTCTTCGGAGTCTGGAAAGGTCAAGCTGACTGCCATCTATGTTTTTAACTTCATCAGCTCTCACAGTTCTCCCGTATCCATTTTCGCGTCTCTGCGAAGCTAAAGCTCTTCGCGCAATAATGATTAGGGATTTGAAGATGCCCTTCGAAAACATTCGAAATTTGGTATTGGCTTCATTGTTGGGGATTCTGCTATGCAAAGAACGATTGAGGAAACGGCGGTGGTGGTAACGTACCCATTTCCTGTTGTTCGCTCCTCTTTATTGCTTCAACTCTAGCACTGTTTCGAACTCTTTATCTTAGAAATGGAAACAGATGGTGAGCAACTTGAGCAGAATTCTAACAGCGAATTTGCTCCGTAAACAAGAGTCATGCTCACGCCTCCTAATACAGTAAGCTTTAAATTTTCTGGCACATTATTTACCTTACTGTGTCTCCCTTGACCTACGTTAATGTTCTTTCCTATAGTTTCTTAAATACCTGTTAGTGCTAGTGAAAACCAAGTGGCAAAACACTGGTTCATTACCTCTCTTCTCACCCCTCACACATAAAAAGAGCGTTTACAACGAACATGCTTCGAACATCCACCAGCGTGTGCAGAGGAAGAGAATACAAGGAAGAATTCCTGGAACTGGCGGAACAAACAGCCATTTTTAAAAGCTACGAAACTGTAGTTCCTCGGGATAGCTGTAGAGGAAAACGAAGCCCCTAAACGTCCCAAAGGATATTTCTAGCGATTTTGTTCGTATTTTTTTGAGCAAACGCGAGGTGTTATTGTTCTTTGTTCACGATTAAGCTGACGTTTCGGCGAATTTCGCCTTCCTCAGAGCCTGGAAAGGTCAAGTTGATAGCAACTCACTCGGCCAGACGCCTCCATAACCAAACAAAGAAACCCCAAACCAAGATTTCAATCACTTTGAACACAGCTCTGCACACTCACCGCTTTCTATGAGGTCTCCACTAAGTATGTCACGTAGAGACCAACCGCACAGAAATCACGTGGAAGTATAATGTGCCCTCGCATCAGAAAAGCAGTTTTATATACTGCCCTATATCACGCGTGATAATGAGGCATTCTTCTCTGCGGTTCATTTTCGGATTTCTGGAATTAATCCAGAATGCCTCGAGGGTTTTTCGCGCCTGTGTTCTCGATTCGCGTGCGAGGATCGTGACACATACTTCGAAGTCGTTATNCGTTTCGCCAATGTATTCGTCACCACACGTCTTACAGGAGATCAGATAAACTATACCCGAGCTCATGCAATCACCGTCTCTACCATTGAGGCAAATTATGCAATTTTGAGTTGCACATAGACGGTCATATAGGCGGTTACGAACTAGCTGGCGCTTAAGATTACTCGGGTACGAAGGAAAACTTTTGTGCTAAATATTTGGAGGACCACCTCTGGAGGAGAATAGTGAGCGGGTCAGTGTTGATTTGCAACTCTATTAGGTCTAATGCTGAAGTAGCTTTGCGAAGAAAATTCGAAGACCTTTTGAGTAAATCACGTAATACAGCTTCAATAGCGCACAAAAATATCGCTAAAGAACATCAAACAGATCACGTTAGGAGAGGTAATGTGCAAGAAAATTCAAGGCTAACCGTATTAGGAGGTATAACTCTCCCTGACGGTGCGCGCTCGTTATTAGAATTGGCGCCGAGTTTCTCACCATCTGAACCCATTTCCAAGATCACCTTGCGTAGGGTCGCATGTGGTTTACATGAACTTCAAGATAGACTCCGCAAAAAACCTAGAGATGAAGCGCTAAATAGGTGCGAACAACGTCAAGTGGGGGCCCTACCAATAGCACCATTTCCCCCAACGTTCTTTAGACAGCAAGAGCCCAATAATGAAGTTGATGTTAAATTTCGGATGTTTGCGAATGAAACTCTCAAACTCCTTAATCACTATCGCGCGAAAAGATACAGCTCCAACCTCACTCCAGTGCAAAAACGTGGTATGCGAGAGGTACGAGACCTGATAAGGTTGAAAACCATAAGACTTTCCGTTAGTGATAAGGGTGGAGAGTTTGTCGTGATTCCTCATCAGTTAGATATGGAGATAACGAAAAAGCATCTTGAGGATGCTTCGCTTTATCGCCCATCATCTGAGGAGGAATTCAAAAGTAAATACCGAAAACTAAACCACGAATGGGCCAAAATGGCAAGGGCTGCTGGTTTGAAACCATCAGTTATCTCTCAACTTAAAGTTGCCTTACCAACATGCCCCGTCTTGTACTTACTTATAAAAACTCATAAGTTAGTATCCAGCGATGATCTTGCGTCTACCGATCCATCACTATTTAAGGTTAGACCTATCATTAGCTGTGTAGACGGGCCAACGGACAGGATAACATGGTTTTTAACCCTAATATTTAACCAATTGTTGAAACACATTCCAGCCTATCTTACGAATACCCAGATGTTTCTGGATCGCCTACGTACTGCGCAGCCCAACAGCGCGTGCGTGATGGAGTCCTTCGACGTTACCGCCCTTTATACAGACGTGTCGAATGACTCCGCAATGCAAGCCATATTCGAACTCCTTACACAACATGAAGGAGAAATAAACATGTATGGCTTCAGGATAGAGCACCTGATGGCACTCTTAAAGGAATGCTTGAGCTGCTCAATCTTCAGATGGTCTGGAAAGTACTACGCTCAAATAAGAGGGTTGGCAATGGGACAACGACTGGCTCCAAGCCTTGCCATTGCATTTATGTCTAAGGTGGAAGCACCGGTGACTGATCTCGGGCCGCTACTCTACTGTAGGTATGTAGACGACTGCTTTGTCCTTTGCTCAACACAAGAGGAAATGGACAAATGNCTACGTACTGCGCAGCCCAACAGCGCGTGCGTGATGGAGTCCTTCGACGTTACCGCCCTTTATACAAACGTGTCGAATGACTCAGCAATGCAAGCCATATTCGAACTCCTTACACAACACGAAGGAGAAATAAACATGTATGGCTTCAGGATAGAGCACCTGATGGCACTCTTAAAGGAATGCTTGAGCTGCTCAATCTTCAGATGGTCTGGAAAGTACAACGCTCAAATAAGAGGGTTGGCAATACGACAACGACTGGCTCCAAGCCTTGCCATTGCATTTATGTCAAGGGTGGAAGCACCGGTGACTGATCTCGGGCCGCTACTCTACTGTAGGTGTGTAGACGACTGCTTTGTCCTTTGCTCAACACAGGGGGAAATGGACAAATGCTTCGAGTTGTTAAACGCACAGTCAGAGTGTGTCAAGTTCACCCGAGAAAAGCCGAAAGAAAAATGGCTTCCATTTTTGAACGTACAAATTCACCTATCAGAAAATGGCTACATTACAAAGTGGTACCGAAAGCCAAGTAGTAAAAATATCTTGGTTCATTACCTCTCCTCTCACCCCTCTCACACGAAAAGGGCGCTTATAAGAAACATGTTTCGAACAGCAACCAACGTGTGCACGGGAGGAGAGCAGAGAGAGGAGTCCCGGAACTTGGCACGGCAAATGGCCGTTTCTAATGGCTACGAAACTGTAGCTCAGGATAGGTGTAGAGGAAATTGTAGGCCTCCAAACGACAACTCTGGCGATAGAAGGGTCCCGTTTATCCTACCCTTCATCTCAAATGATGTAAGTACAGCTATAAAACGCTGCTTAAGAAGGGCGGGCTTAGAGAATTCGGTGAGCGTAGTTGAAATACCACCGAGTAATCTTAAGCGCCAGCTAGTTCGTAACCGCCTATATGACCGTCTATGTGCAACTCAAAATTGCATAATTTGCCCCAGTGGTAGAGACGGTGATTGCATGAGCTCGGGTATAGTTTATCCGATCTCCTGTAAGACGTGTGGTGACGAATACATTGGCGAAACGGGTAGACCCCTCTGTGTCCGCATGAAAGAACACCTAGCCGGC